CAAACAAAATCCGGGTAGTCTTTGATTCGTCAGCAGTATTCCAAGGCAAGTCCCTGAATCGCGAGCTTCTCTCTGGTCCTGATTTACTTAATAATCTTTTGGGGATCCTAATCAGATTTAGAAGAAAAGAAATCGGTGTTATGTGCGACATCGAGCAGATGTTTCATGCTTTCTACGTTTACCCTCCGCATCGAGATCTAATGCGCTTCTTGTGGTATAAAGATAATGACAAAGAAAACGAAATCGTTGACTACAAGATGACTGTGCATATCTTCGGAAACACCTCAAGCCCAGCAGTGGCGACATTTGGATTACGGAGGACGGCAGATGAAGGGAAGGAAGAATTTGGTAATGCAGCGAACAAGTTTGTCCTTGACGACTTCTACGTGGACGATGGAATCACATCTTGTGACACCGTAGGCGAAACTCTGCAGTTGATAAAGAACACACGAGATATGTTACACACAGCAAACTTGCGTTTACACAAAATTGCGTCGAATTCTCCAGAAGTGATGAAATTGTTATCTCCGCAGGATAAAGTAGAGAATCTGCGTAACCTTGATCCCAGTCACGACCCTCTCCCTCAACAACGATCGTTGGGTGTAGTATGGAACATAGAAAAGGACGCCTTCACATTCCAAGTGCTTCTACCAGAGAAACCGTTCACATGTAGAGGTGTTCTAGCAATCGTTAATTCCATATACGACCCCCTAGGGTTTGCAATCCCTACCACCCTGCAGGGAAGATTGCTTCTTCGCGAACTTGTCCAGTTAGGGAACACGAAAGGCGAAAACAAGATTCTCGGATGGGACGATCCCTTGCCCAATGATCTCCTAAAGAAGTGGTTAAAGTGGCGAAATTCTCTTGTTGAATTAAACAAATTATCTATACCTAGATGTTATCACCCGAGTGATTTTGGTAAGATAAGACAATATGAGATCCATGCGTTTTCAGACGCCAGTGAAAGAGCCATCGCCACAGTAATCTACGTAAAGTTGGTCAGTGTAGAAGGACATATCAGTATTTCTTTATTATACGCTGAAGCGAAGCTTTCTCCGAAGCAAGCGACAACCATTCCCAGGTTGGAGCTCTGCGCTGCAGTTCTGAGCGTCAACGCCGTCAAGTAGATAATAATAATAATAATAATAATATATAAAGATTTATACAGCGCTTAAATTATATAAAATATTCCAAAGCGCTTTACAACAATGAGGTTATACTATATACAAGTAGCTAAAATATTAAGAATTAAGGTATAGGTGTCTATAAATCTAAAAGTTAGAATCGAAAGCTTTCTTAAAAAGGAAAGTCTTTAATTGAGATTTAAAACAGTCAATTGTTTTACTATTTCTAATACCAGAAGGTAACATGTTCCAAATTGACGGAGCTGCATGCACAAATGCTCGATCACCAAGAGTCTTGGCTCTAGTTTTTGGGATAAAAAGTAGTCCCTGATCATCAGATCTCAGTTGGTAACAGCAGTTCGGTTTTTCTAACAACAGTTCCATAATGTAGCCTGGAGCCATCCCGTGGAGGGCTTTATATACCAGAAGTGCAATTTTAAAATCAACGCGAAACTTGACAGGCAGCCAGTGAAGGTGCATCAGGACAGGGGTAATATGAGCACATCTTGGTATAAGACACGTCACTCTAGCAGCGGCATTGAGAACTCGTTGAAGACGCTGAAGTTGGTATTGGGGAATGCCGAACAAGAGAGAATTGCAGTAGTCCAAGTGTGACGTCACAAAGGCATGTACGAGCGTTTTAGTTGATTCGATGGAGAGAAACTTCCTTATTTGTCGGATGCTGTACAAACCTTGCCCACATGGACATTCATCGACATATGTTCGTCAAACCACGAACCTAGATTTCGAACTTCTTGTACAGGTTTTATATCAGCATCACCAACTTCAATCGAGTCGATTGTAACCTTAGACAGCTGCTGGCGAGTTCCAATTATCAAGAATTCCGTTTTAGTGTCGTTGAACATTAATTTATGTGAAACTAACCAAGCACGAACTTCGACGATGCAATTATTAATAGTTTGAATAGCTTGGTCTTGGACAACGGGTGACTCAGGACGGAAAGATAAATAAAGTTGAGCGTCATCTGCATACCCATGGGAAGAAGGTAAGTGCCTGTTAATAATCTGGAACAGTTGAGACACGTATAATAGGAAAAGGACCGGTCCAAGACAGCTTCCTTGTGGTACTCCACAGTTCAACGTAAAATTGGCGGAAAACTTTTGCTTAATATTAATACGCTGCTTTCTACAGGAAAGAAACGACTTAATCCACTTTAAGGCATTTCCGATCACACCAAATTCTAACTTCAATATATCCATCAGAATTTCATGATCAATGGTGTCAAAGGCGGCACTCAAATCCAAGAGCACTAAAAGAGTTACTTTCTGTTGGTCCATGTTCATAAGGATATCATTGTGGACTCTTAGGAGAGCTGTTTCGGTAGAGTGAAATTGACGATATAACGATTGGTTGTTAGGAAGAGGAGCATTATCAGCACAATGCTCAAATAACTGGCTAACAACTTCTTTTTCCGTAGCTTTAGAAACGAAAGACAGGTTACTGACGGGCCTGAAGTTCTCAAAGACTAGATCAAGACCGTATTTTTTTAGAATTGGAATAAGAATGGCAACTTTCCATGCTTCTGGGACGTGACCTTCATTTAACGACAAGTTGATCATTTTCATAATGACAAGTGTTAACTCACTGGCACATAATTTCAGCAGCCATGTTGGGATAGGATCAAGGTTACATGTTGCATTCGACGACTTCATGATTATGTTATGGACTTCTTCTTCTGACAGGAGCTTAAATGAGTCTAATTTGATATCAGATAAACGATAATCTACTAATGGTGGGTCTACTACAACGTTTTCAATGTCATTTCTAATTAGCTCAATCTTTCGACAGAAATATTTTCCGAACTCATCAGCCAGTTTACGTGAATCATCATGTGGAGGCAAGGAGTTTTCTTGAGATGTGTTGCAAAGTGAAGACACAACCTTAAAAAGTTTTCTTGAATCTCCCGAGCATTGATCGATAAGATCAGAATAGTATTTATGTCTAGCATTTTTCAAACTAGTAGCATACTTGTTACGCGCTTGGCGATAAGCGTCTTTATCATTTTGGCAATTTGATCGTAGCATTACTTTCTCCAGTTTTCTGCGTTTGGCCTTAATACGTTTAAGTTCTTCACTGAACCATGGTACTCTTGGTCTGACAACCACTATCTTTCTTTGTAAAGGAGCATGTTTCTCCAAAATATGTGATAGCGTATTATCATAATGTTTCACCAAATCATCTAGATTGGAGCATGGGTCATTACACAGTTTGGAATCAGTGATGTCAGCTTTGAAGGCCTGAAGATTCAAATGCTTTGTCTTACGAAACTGGATTTCCTTTGTCACAAGATTCGGGCGAGAAAAAGAGAGGTTGCATTCAACAAAACAATGATCTGACAAAAAGAAAGTAGTCTTGACTAGGTGAATATTAATGTCATTGGATGATCTCGAAATTAGAAGATCCAGGGTATGCCCAGACGAGTGAGTTGATACAGTAACATGTTGTAATAAGCCAAAAGTTTCCAATAAATCAGTAAATGTTTTCGCGTCAGTATCAGACGGATCATCGAGATGGAAATTAAAGTCACCGGAGATTACTAATACTTCTGTGCACATAACAATGCTCTCCAGTAAGTTGGAGAATTCTTCGAAGAAAACGCTTGAAGAAACAGGGTGAGTTTGTGAATAAGGTGGACGATAGACTGCTAATGTTTTAATCGTACGGTTGAGTAAAGGCAAGTTCCATTCAGAGTATTCAAAAGATCGTTTTTCACCTCCGTCAATTAAAGTAACTTTAAAATTGGTATTAAACATAATGCCAGTGCCTCCACCCATTCTGTTAGATTGTCTAGGAAGGTTTTTAAAAGAGTAACCAGGGGGAGAAAGCGCGGCTATGCTAACAGTGTCAACGTCTTTTAACCAGGTCTCAGTCACAATACACACATCAATATCGTTGCTCAAAACATGATCAACGATTTCGGCTGTTTTGTTTTTAAGAGATCTCGCATTAACATTGGCGAAACGTAGGAATTTTGTATGAGAATCTGAATTTAAGTTAGTTCTATGTACAGACACGCAGACACAGTTTGAAGGGTTGTGAGTACGAGCACGGTGACAACGACCATTACGCGGATGTCTATCAGTACTCAATATCCTGTTGTTTGTACTGACATCAATGAAGGAGGGTATGGAAAAGGTTGGGATGCGGGGTGGTATATTGGGGATCGAAATGGAGGGAAATAATAGGGATTCACAGGAAAAGGGGAGTAATGAAAACTGGGTGAGGAGACAGCTTTGTCCATTATCTTATAGGAGGGTCGTTGGATGTTATTATAAAATTGAGGTTTCTGATGTAGGAAGTCACAATTATTGCCTTTTTTACAGAATTTTCTTTTCCTCAGGAATGGACACGGGGTTAAATGTTTTGGGCGTTTAAGTGTCATTCGGTTAAAACGTCTATTACCTAATCGAGATGTGCTGGTATTAAATTTACCCGTTATTGACTTAGTTTTACTGGCTTTATTTAGATTAGTAGCTTCAGTTAGTGTGCAGTTTTTTACGAGATCGGTATTCGAGACGCTAGGTTGATCTTTAACAATAAGAACTGACTCATTATGTATATCAGTTTCATTATGGGATATATTTATAATGTCTTCAGTTGACTGATTTAAGTCGGAGTTTAGAACGCTAGGCCGGTCACTTGCTATATTCCTAAACTCGTCGTAGATATTAAATTCATTGAATAAAGTTGGTCCAATGGTATGGGAGGTGTATATGTTAGGGTCAATTAGCGGATCCTTATCAGTAGTTGTAGGGTCATTAAAGGTGGTATTTCTCATACTATTAGTGGGACTGTTGGTCATAGGATTGATATTCATTACTTTGAATGTTGAATTCCCAAGAGACCGCAAGCTTGACGCAAGGAGCAAATTTGCTTCGCTAAGTCTACATATCTCGCTGTCTTGCTTGCGAATAACAGACTCAAAGTCTTTTTGTTTAGATCGCATAGAGTTAATTTCAGTTATTAAATCACTCGTAATGTCCACTAGGGTGCAATATCTGCTTTCAAGCCATCAAACTGCGATACAGATGGTTCAGTCAGCTCATTAACACTACTACAAACCTCTTTCGTTGATACTTCGCATGAGGGATTTACATCTTTCGGGTCCCGATTTATCAAGCTTTCGAGCTTCAACTTTAGATTCTCTTCAGCATCATCACTCTGTATAACCAGCTTTTTCGAACGAGGACCGCGCCATTTAATCATATATTCCCCTTCTCCTTCGCTTTTGAAAACTTTAACGTCGCCTCCAGGGGATTTCCACTTGCCTTTCAAGTTTAGTGCTTCTAGAACAAACCTTTCTAATTCCTCAAAGGTTTTAAGCCATACATATGTTCCACTGTCGTAAGATAGACCGTTAAGATAATTCATAGTTGATTAAAAACTAAGATTTTATTCAAAATATATAAAAATATAGCGGAGCGAAAAGCACACGTACACGTTGCATGTAAAATCGCCTTTCCATGTAAAATTATTTACATTGTAGAATAGAAAAGAAGATTTTTCTATTTTGCTTTCAGATTTGCTGGTTTTGTTGTCGGAATTTGCAACAGATGCGGAGCTCGGAATTTTGTCACCTTTCGCCATGGTGTTAGTAATGCAAAGATCTTTAGCCATGAAGGGCTTAGGTGGCGACATCTGAATAGGCATCAGTTTAACGTTAGCCCCCTCGCCGTCGAGGGCTTAGGTGGCAACGTTTGAGTAGGGACGAGTTTAAATTAATATTAGATACCTGGCTGTCGAGGGCTTAGGTGGCCATGTCCGAGTAGGGAC